AACAACGAAACCAACTAACTTACTACCTACCAACCAACTAACGTAAACGTAACGTAACGAACGAAGTAATAACTAACTAAACTACGACGACTACGTACTACTTCTTCTACTACTACTACTAATATACTTCTCTCTCTCTCTCTCTCTCTCTCTCTCTCTCTCTCTCTCTCTCTCTCTCTATGTGCAATCACTCACTGAATTCCCCACCTTCCCCATCCCATTGACTGGTAATTAGTATGGCAACGAGTGTTCTTCTTTCTCTTACTAACTTTCTGGTTACAAACAAGTTTCTCTCTCAAACCAGGAGTTTTCAGAGGAGCAACTGAACCAGGCTCATTAAAGTTTAAGCATCAGCGAAGAAGAAAAAGTTGGGGGCAAAATGTGGGTAGACCTGCTACTTTCTTTTTTAGGAACAGGGTTTGGTTTACCCAACCACTGAAGTATTATAAAAGATAGCAAATAGAGTTGTCCACCTGTTCCACTCTCTCTCCTCTCTCTCACTCTCTCCTTCAGCACTCGAACCCGCAATAAACTGATACGCTTCCCTTCCTTATGTGAGAGAAAGGTTAACCACCCTTCTTGACTTTCCTCTTTTCCTATTGTTCAGTTCTTAGTCCCCACTCTGCCCTAGCATGTGAGATGACATAAGTGTTGGAGGCCAAACACGTGTGAACTAATGATATTTATGCCAACCAAAATACCAGTAGTAAATCGATTTATTTTAAAAAATCGGGAAAAAAAATCGGTTAAATATACGGATCGTCAAGAAATAAGATAAGTTTAGAATTGTGAATATTTTGGATTTGGCTCAAAAAAACATAGTGAGAAAATCGAAGTAAAGATGACGTATTATAGGATTATGATTTTGAATTATTGTATAGATACATTAAAGTTATTGACTAATAATTTTATGGCCTTACCTAGTATCATTAGAGTAGTAAATAAATCCAATAACGATGCTTACTCTATTGTCAAAATTCAAAATATATCATAGATTTATTAGGAGTGTAAAATGAAACAATAATAATACCAAACATAAAGACTACATTGGTAAATATCAAGAACTGTAAACAAAAATATAGAAATATTGTTCAAAGAAAAAACAAGAAAGACTTTTAGTATAGGATTGTAGTTAATTAAAACAAAACACACTTACCCAAATATGTAAAATAGTGGCCCATCCAAAATGTAGTATTATATACGCCAATAAAATTAAAAAATTAAAAAGAATGAAATTAATCAAACTACGATGTGTATAAAGAAATCAACAAAATGCTTAAGCAAATTCGAATCTCACACTGAATTCCTAATTGCCTAAATCTCTAATATCATTGAATCTCTCTTGCTCTTTATAAGGACGATCTGGATTTAAAGAATAAAAAATATTTCATTGGGTTACTCTTCTTCTAACTCTACCTATTATTTTGAGATATATGATTGCTTTGGTATCTTACTTTTTGGGGTATATATTGCTTCGAATAATTTTTCTAGGGGAAACTTATTTGTGAAATTTTTTATGGATTTTTTTTTTAAATCAAGATTATATTTACTCATATTGTTAATGTGCTTATCTTTAAACCAAATTCTATAATATTAAGTTTATCAAGAACTAAAGTTATAAAGAAGAAATTTTTTTAAGAAGAGATAATATATGGATTTATATATGTTCTATTTAAAAAAAAGGAAAAGTTTATATAGAGCCGAGTCTCTAAACAATCAAATTTCAGCCTACCTCAAAAATTTCACTAGAAGAGCTTATTTTGATGAGAAAAAAGGGATTTCAAGTTTTGGAAATAGTGTATTTTGTAACGCATTTTTAGACCATCAATTTTCAAGATTTTCAAGTTTTCATAGATATGCCGATCTACACTATTTTTTGAGCTTTAAAATCTATAAATAAAGATAAAAATATATTTTAATCCTCTCACAAATATTTTTGATATTGAAACCACATTTCTCGACACTATTTGAAGGTAGGCTCTAATTTGATTGTTTAGAGCCTAAGCTCTATACAAACCGCACCCTTAAAAAAAATCTATTTTTTTGAATATCTTTTGAAAAACTCAAAGTTCTTAACCGATTTAAAAAACGCAGATATCAAAGAAAAAGAAAAAAAAAAAAACGAACATGTTTTATACGAAGACTTGCTAACTATGGTCTTAATTAGGGGCAATGGGCAAGGCAGCTTAGCCTGGCTGGTTGATCTTGCACTTAAAATAAGAGTGATTTACGTATGGACCCGAAAACTCTACCTAAATTCAAAATGCTCTGTTTATAGGCACAAATTACAAGGAAGATCAGTTAAACAACTTTTTTTTTTTTAAAAAAAAAAATTGCCCCTCGGTCCGAGGATGGCATCCTCAGACCACATTTTAATATTTCTGTTTTTTTGTTTTTTCATTAGTAGTGCAGTGCTCTGAGCTCTAGCAGCAGGCAGTGCCCAGGCTGTCTGAGGTTCGAATCCTCGAACCACCCTTTGGTTCCTGAGCATTTCAAAGATGAGAACCTTAGACCATGCTATGTCTTATTTTTTGAAAAAAAACATTTGTCCGAGGATGGGAGCTTCTGACCGCTTTCTGGACCGAGCACAACTCAATTCCAAGGCGATCTGAAGTTGCCATCCTCGAACTGCTCTTTATTTTTTATTTTTTGAAATAAACAGTGGTCCAAAGATGGGGACGGTCTTAGGATTCTAACCTCGAATCGCCTAGGTATTGCCTTTAAAACTTGGGGCACTACCCTACTAATGAAAACACTAGGAAAAAAAAATTGTTAAAATGCAGTCCGAGGACAGGTTGACCGACCTTCCTTGTAATTTCTGCCAATAAAAAAAAGTATTTTGTATTATAGGTAGAGTATTCATACGTAAAATCTCTTGAAAGCGTACAGTACCTGCGTATTTTTATGGGAGCCATTGAATTCCTTGGGATCGCCGATCTGAAGTTATTCCCAAAGTGGCACGGTTGCTCCATCGAAGAGTGGCATTTGCGTGGTTACTATTTACCAGGGTTGAAAGTTGTAGGTGGATGTTGGTTACGTTTTGGTAACTCATGTTCTTTGTACAGGAAGGATCACATTCGTGGAACAGAGGAATGATTAATAAGCCAGAGACCATACCCAAAATTCAACGCTAGGACAGTATCCCAATGACCCCTTCCACTTTCAGTAACCATAGCACCCAAAAATTCCACCTAAATGACAAAAGAGAAAGTTACATGTTTCCAGGCTTTGGTCCACATAGAGTTAGTTGCAATTTTAAACCATCTCCAAACTTTATCATGAGATACAATTTTGGTGTTAAATATTTTTTAGGATGGTACTAAAATCAATTTTTATATTAATTATAGGATTTTAAACTATAAAAAAAGGTTCAAATAAGGTAAATCTATAAATATACGAAAATATTGAAAATAAATGGTTCAGATAATATGTTGCAAGAAAAACTATTTTTAAGACTTGATAATCTCTGTTTTTATCCATATTTATACATCTCGATGTTGAGATGATTGCTTAGATGTTTTTCAATTTAAAAAACAACCTTTTTTTGAAGGATTTTAGATGTACATCTTACTTCTACATTTTAAGGCGTCAACCTTATATAAACTTTTTCTTTTTCGAAAAGAGAGGGCTTTTCGTGTGACCTCACCCACATATGTAGTATATGTAACCCTCGATATCAGCTGTCGGATTTGAGTAGAAGGCTGAGATGGCTTTAGTGGTTCAGAATGTTTTATTTTTTATTTTTATTCTATAAATCATTTTGCTGTGAAATTTAGGGCATGCATACATATGGCAGGGGTGCAAATGATAAAAATAATAAAAATTATTTTATGTGATTAAAATTAACAAAATACTCTTAAAACTATTTAGGGAATTTTGTCATTTAGGAGATTCTTTTTCGAAGCCAATAGAAATATTTCTCCTTAGAAAGGTTAAACTAAGATGTCTTGTGTTAAAAAAAGAAGTATGGATGAGTCACCGAAATCGAATTTTACATTATCGAAGTTCAAGACTTTCGAATTAATTATCTCGACCTCGACTATCATGCATTTGAGGAAAAAAATGAAGATTTTAAATATAAAAGTAGTATGTCTTGTACTGCTGTATCTTACATTGTTCATTTTATATTGTCTTTGTCCATAGATTCGTAAGATCTCAATCATTTTCAAAGCTTCAAATTTTGCGATCAAGATTTTGGAGCTCCCCAGTGAGACATTATCTTTTTATGATATTTTATAAAGAATGTAAACTCTAAGACCATTCACTTCTTTTTTTTTTTTTTGGGTAGATCAGTGGGAGTACAGGCCTCTACCCAGTTTTAGAAATAATTAGGGGTTTTTGAATGCATTAGTGGGAATAAAAATCTGAACCGATAGCTGAGGCTCAAGTGATGCTACCACCATGAACTCAAACCCATTTGCTAAGATCATTCATTTTTAATACAAAAAAGTCAAAATTATTCTTAGCTATTGGATATGAAAATATGATAGATTGAAATGCATCGCAATTTTCAAGAGCTTCTATTTTGGACTTTATGTCCACAACACTAACCACCCGATCTCACATCCAACATTGACCTAGTCTTATCATATACATTTATTATTTAAAAAGGAGGTTTTATATTTTACAAACTTGTTTTATGTGGTGGGGACCGCATTTCTACATTTGCGGCTTAAAGATGGATGCAAATATGTGGTCTATATAAAAACAATTGAAACTAACTGCCCAAATGTTTTCTTGATAAATTATTATTTTAAATTTCCAAAATTTATTTATTTTTCCATATTCATGATCTCCATATTAGAAATTACATGTCCTTTAAACCTATGTCTAAAAATCCATCTCAAAAATAAATTTTTAAGAGATGAATCATTTCTACATGACTCGTAGAAACTGTCTCTTTACTTTTATTTTTTGTCCATAATAAACTACATCTTTTACTTCTTACCTTGAAATCCGTCATTTATACTAATAAATACCTAGCCGATTAAACTATCTAAATGATGTTGATTGTTGGATTTATTTATACATTACACATAAAATAGAAAACCTAGAATATTGGTCAGGAAGGGGAGATATATTCTTGAGGGTGTACGGTGACGTTTGGTTTATGAATTGTTGGGTTTTATAATGACTTGAAAAATATTAGTGCGTTGACAGTTTAGGACCCTTGCTGGTTGATTCTCTGTCGAATTCTAGGGTTAAGTAAGCGACCAACGGACCCCAATTAGGTAGGTTTTTACCTGTTATGATGCTTGAGTAAGATTATATTTATATTTATGTGTGTGCACAAGCATATTGTCAGCCACCTTGAGTCTGGAATATTGTACCTCAATGGCTTGTATTCAATTTAGCAGCCGAGTTAGCAAAATCGGAAAATAATAAAATAATGGCAAACCAAAGCATCAATAATAAATCGATTTTATTTCAAACAGTCAGAGGAAAAAGTCGGGTAAAAAATATGGATCGTTAAAAGACAAGGTAAGTTATAGAATCGTGAATATTTCGGATTTGGTTAAAAAACATAGTAAAAAAATCAGATATGTAAAGATGACACAATATAGGATTATGATGTGTAGATATTGTATAGATATATTAAA